GATGTGGCAAGAACTTACGAAGTATTTCGAGGCAGGGGTGGGTGGCGTGTTCGTCAATTTTCTTTTCCTTCTAGACTCGACATGGAAATACCCATCCCAAGCGGAATCTGAAAACACGGAAACACGGCAGAAAGGCTCGAGGAGAGGAGGGATTGGAGGATGGATGATGGGGAAATCAATCTTGGAGTGATCGCCGAACAAGGATGCCAGGTCCTTGGGCAGGATAACACCAGATTGCGCGCTGTTTGAAGGGCGAGCACCGTCTCCAGTACTGTAAGTTAGGTGGTTCGACGGGCGGGTACGTCACATCTGTACCGTATGTTATTGAAGGGGAGGGGGGAGAATGTTTACTATCGGGCAGGGATCATGTCGTCCCATCTACACATCTACTGGGATCTCACGAACTCAAATGTGTATGTTGGCATATGGGAGGTATGCTCTGGGGAGGTGTGTCACGTGATATTCACGTGACACACCACCACCCCGGCAGTATCCACCCTTCCCCTGCAACGCAAGGATATTACTACAAGTAGGTGCCTGTATCCGTAAGTCTAGATACAACAACTACAACTACACACCACAATCCTGTTTATATTCATATACGACTTGGAATATCCCTTCCCTGTGATAACCAACAATGTACAATGTACTTAATGTTCGAGATGTACCTCAAGATTGACAATAGTAAGATGTAAAAGTGCATACTCTTCCTAGACACCTAGCAGGAATAAAGTGTGACTGTTTACGGAGTATACTATGCGTGTACGTAGGGCCTGTGGCAAGCTAAGATTAAGAACCCAGGATACAATACTGCGTAGTACATGCCCATTCGTCCGTTCTCCCATACCTTGTGAGAACGCTGATGACTTCTCCGCCCCCTGTCTGCCCCTCTTGTCCTCAAACATGTTGCAGGGTGGCTGGGCTTCTGACCAATGGGGGTGGTTTGTGTTCACGTTACTGATGTTTTGTTGCTTTTCTGCACCAGGCGTCGTATGCTAATTTAACAGTCCCCCCCCCCCCCCCCCCCCCCCCCCCCCCCGATCTTCTATTTTAGGTACGGGCAAGACTGACTGTTGCATGGTGTCGCTCTTGACCTAACCCCCTTTTCATCTCGGCAAGGCGGCGGAGGGCCCTGTATTGTTTGGGAACTGAGACGGCGCGCCGGGTTTCCAGGACCAGACGGGCCGGAGATTTCGGGACGATCTTGGTATTTCTTGGACTGCCCGGATTTTTCGCCCATGAAGAAATTGCCAGGACAAGGCCGTGACCGGACGAGAAAGATAGAGTTGCGATTGTGGTGGGGGAGGCGGGGGGCGACCGTTTCCTCCATGGTCCCAACATCGCTCTTTCACAGTATGGGATTGTCGTGCCTGCCCCATTCGGGTGGCCGCTTTGAACTCGTTGGGCCGCCTGTGTGCCCCCCTCCCCCCCTTCTCGTCCTGGGACTAAGAGACGTTGAAGGGTGAAACTTTTGGGTGACTGACCGGCAACGAGGGTGTCTGTGTGTAGAAGTAGCTTTTGCGGCCCCTCCTTCGCCAGCAAACCGTCGGCAGGGTGAAGGATAGGCGGCGGATGACTCCAAAGTTTTTCTTCTTTTTCCATCTGGGGTTTGAAGGGGTTCCCAGTCACCGACTCTGGAGATATTGGGTGCTGGCTCCTTGGGATAGGACAGTAAGGTGGGCGAGGTGTCGGAACACTTGCACGCACGCGCGCGTGTGTGGATACATTGGTACATACTGTTCTCTCGGCCCAAGAGCACAATGTTGTCGACCGGGCTACAGCACACGTCTGGTTGTCCCCGAGTGAGCCAAATGTCTGGGCAAGGCGACAACAGACACAGCTTGCAACATGGGGGCTGGTTTGACACAAGGAGCGGGAGGGCGCATACCACGCTTACGTGATAGGTGCTCCTATATTATACGTCTCTCGGGTTTGAGCGGGATCAGTGGCATCTTCCAAGACGTCATACAAATTCAGAGCTGGCGCACTAGGCAGGCGTACAGAGAGCGCACAAGAGCCTCGGCTGTGACGATGAAGGATATATGGCCTGTCGGGGTATAGAGAGTACATAGTAGAGGGCTTGCTGCTTCCCGCAACAGGGGCTGCTGGACCGAACAGGTCTGGAAGGTACGAGTACGTAACGGGTGCGACTATCATTAGCCACAATCAAATTGACCTTTTGTTTTGGTCCGATTCATTCAGCTCCGCAATTTCTAGGTCCTGGGACACTCCCGTCTACACCCCAGCTCTGGTTGATATCTGCCATGTAGGTATCGCAAAGATACCAATAAGCCCCATTGCCTTGTGTGTGGCCACTGCGTCCCGATACAGGATGGACAGCTCAAGTCCGGAATGCGCCAAACCAGGAGACTTCCCAACGAAAGTGAGAGGAGACACGACAGCCAGCCACCATCCTCAGGTGTAAGATATACTGGTTCACGATAAATGATCTAGTGTTATACAAATGAGGGGACGGTGATGATGGATTGAGATTGTTGGTACCAATCTATCTATGTGCGTGTGTGTGTGTGTGTGTGTGTGTGTGTGTGTGTGTGTGTGTGTGTGTGTACGCACACTAACCAACCCGCCGACCTTGTCTCATGGTAGCTGCAGGCCACGACACCTTGTGTGCCTGAGCTAAACCAGGCAACTGTAGCCCTCTGGTGTCCGCATGACCTTTGGTGGTTGTGTCGCTTGTGGTGCCCATCCTGTATTCTGGCTGTATGCCTGCTCTCTATTGTCTGCCTAGGGGAAACCCTGAGTTCCCATTGTGTTCTGTTTCATAGTGTTGCTCTTTCGTTCTCTCTGTATTCGTATACCAGACTGTGCTCTACAACGCACGTGCCAAGGGAAGCTTATTGAGAGCAAGTCAGGCACACAAGCTTTGCCCGCTCGAGGTGCAATGTGGCACGGCGATGGTGAAGAAGCTACACAAGGGCCATGTAATGCTCGCAGGTTCGACTGACACAAGATGGGCACGGCGAGTCAGGCATCCGCAGTTGGCTGTGCCAGACTAGAAGGCAAAAAATACCATGGTATCTCACCATATGAAGAGTCGGGCCATCTCTTTATACTTTAACACCAGGATGACGAAACGGAGATAATGTAGGGCAAAAATAGGTCGACAAGAGCCTTTCAGGCCCCGTTGTCATCCTCTCCCATCGGTGCCTCCGGAACGGAGCTTTCTGGATCGGGATGCTGACTCGGGTCATGCCCTCCCTGCTGGGCGAGGAACTCGGCGTACTCGGCGCTAGCAAGAGCTAGCTGCCGTGCCGCTGTTTCGATCCGGAGCTGAAATCGCACGTGTGGGTTGTCGCTCCGAGCTTCCGCCATGGCCCTGTCCAGTACATCCTTGACAAACTGCGCAACCGTCGGGTCGGCGCCAGGCTGTCCGAAGCTGGGGCCTGCGGGGGCCATGCCGGGAGCCATCGGTGCCGTGCCGGCAAAACTTGTGTTCGCAGACACCTGGGGCACAGGCTGAAGCTGGATGGCTGGCATATGCTGAGGAAGGTTGTTTTCTGCGTGGGAAAGCTTGTTAGTTATCCGATGTTTTCTCGAGGACCTACTCGTTGCATCCTCGGTTCCTGCTTACCGTGGAAAGAACAGCGAGAGCCGCTCGCGTTGAACCAGCAGTTGGCGCAGCTGCCACACATCTGGCCGCTGACCACCACGCACCCGTTCCAAGGACCGTAGCCCTTGTGACAGCTCTTGCAGGGACTATGGGCTTCCTGTCCCGAGACGTGGGCCAGTAATGCTTCGACGTTGCTTCTTCTCTTCAGGTTGAGAGTCTGGTCCTGGCGGCGCTGCACCGCGAGCCGCTGTCCCTCGTTGTTGGCCAGCCGTTTGGCGAGTGCACTATCGATGACCAGTTGCCCGTATCCGCTTTCAGAAGCGAGGTCCTCGGCTGTCCGGGACAGACCCCCGGCGCCATGAGTACCCATCGGGGCTTCCATGGCGAACTGGGCCGGCAGGCTGTGCAGATCGGGGTGGATGTCAGCCTCGGCCCCGGGTACTGAGCCGGGAGGACCGTTGGCTAGAATGCCGGCGGCGGCGAGATCGAAGGGGTTCGGATGATGGTGCTGTTGGTGCTGCTGGTGCTGGTGCTGGTGCTGGTGCTGGTGCTGATGATGGGAGGAGGTACCGGGAGGTGGAGGGACGGTTATCTCGTCGTCATCTTCGTGTTCAGCTTCGGCCTCTGCATCGTGGGCTAGCTGCTCCAGCTGATCGGCTGCGACGGAGGAGTGACGGCTCTGACGGCCGTGAGCGTCGCGCTTGAGGCCTCCAGCAGGCTTCGTCACCTTGTTTGGGCGGCCTCGAGGAGGTGGTCGGCTTCCGCCTCGGGCACTCATGGGGTAGTTGAGCAGAGCGATGCTCCTATTTCATCGAGGTGGACGGCGAGGAAGCTCTAGCTACCTAGTTGACGATGAGTGGCGTTGAGGGCGGACAGCTGGTGTCAGCTGGGGGGTGTGTGTGATGAGGAGTTTGGGGGGTCGGGAGGAGCTGTTGAGCGGGAAGAAGCTGGTGGTTGTCTCGGGTTCCACTCACAAACTGCTACGGGTACAAATGGAAGGTACATAGGAGCTCGGACCAAATGTTTTGGTTCCAGCACTTACCGAGTCTTATATAAGCGAGTAGTCTAGACTTGCAGAAGATAGATACATCCGAAAGAACAAAACGCAAAGATTGTCTGCTGTAATACTGTTAGCTGTCATGCAAAATGAGACTGTTTATGTGGACAGTGAACGAGTTACCATGGAACTACGTGGTAGAGCTCTGCGCTCTGCACTCTCAGTCCGCTACATCAAGGCTATGCACAGGCGTGATCAACTCGAGTGAACTGCTCGGAGCACCCAGGCCCCTGTTGCTTGATGACGATGGGATGGAATTATTCGGTCCATCATACTGGCGCGTATCCGTTGATGCTATTCGACACGAAGCAAAATCGCGCTTCTTGACTACTCCAGCTAGATGTTTCCTCGGCTGGAATACAACCCCGCATCTCATGCCTCGGCTGTGGCAGAATTCTCCCAGACATCACCGCCGCCATCAGCCTCAGTCATTTCCTTCCACCGCTGGACAAACTCCCTCAACCCGCCTTCTCCCGACAAACTCGTATCGACAACCTCCTTTGGCAGCTTATGTGCAGAATACTGCGGTGTGCTGAAGTTGAATGCAACTGGGTTATCCTTTTCAACCAGCCTCAATTCAGGAACCAGTTCATCAGCATCTTCTTCGTCCGTCGTCTCGTCCGCAGCGCTGCCTTCAAGCTGTTCTTCCTCGTTCACAACGGAGCCCAGCATCGGCTTCGGGACCTTGAATTCGAGCAGCTCGACCCAGCTGAAGAGCAGACTGTCTGTTCGCGGCGCCCAGGGGTTGATGTCAATAAGGCGCACCTTGCCGAGCTCGTCATATGAGTTGCTATCGCAGGGCACGTAGACGTCGAAGATGAAGGATCCGTCGGGAAATGTGAAGCGCAGACGGTCCTCAAAGAAATCGGTGATCTTGGACACCAGCGCAGGCCGGAGACCGTCGAGGAACGGGTAGTAGTTCCAGTCCCGCTGGCAGACACCGATGAGAGCGCGGTGCTTGACGAAACAACGAAACTCAAGCGCGGGGTTGGGCGCGAAGAACGGTCTGAGAACCAGGACGGGCTGAAAAGGCCTGTTTGAGGTCGAGGAGACGGTGTCTTTGAAGGCGTGCTCCAAGTCATGGCTGACAAAACTGGAGCTCTTAAGAAGGAGATAGATATCGTTGGGCGATGTGCACTTGAGTGTGTTCTGGTGCGTTGAAATCCAAGCTGCATCCTTCGGGGCGGACCAGTTCAGCTTGGGCGCAACAGCGCCTCCCAGCTCATTGATAATGTCCTTGATCTCCTGGTGGATTTCGGGGAAGCGCTCATTCGGAGGCCGAGAGTCGGCCTCGGGCTCGTCATCGGAGCTATCCCCTTCGAGGTGCCGGTTCCGTCTCGGTGCGTCGGCTGTGTTAGAAGAGGCGGACCACTCCCCCTCGTCTTCCTCAGCGAGAACATTATCTTCGTCGGCGAGGATGATGCCGTCGTCGCGAATGTATTGGACAAAGTCGGCTGATAGCTTGATTATTCTCGACCTGATTGACACTGTCCGGTACTTGGGAAACCAGCTATCGTACGAGCAATTCAGAATGTGATCCTTGGCCACGGGCGGAAAGGTAAGTTCTTCGGGGTTTTGGGCAGTGGTGTTGTTGACTGCGTCCAGGGTAGGCTGCCCCCCAGTAAGACCTTCGAGGGACGGCATTACGGAACTAATTTCTTGGGATGAGAATTGTGTTTGATCAAGGAGATTTTTGGTTCTTCCTAGTCGGCGAGATTTTGGGAACCTGGCATCTGCGTCAGAGCCCTTTTGTGGTAATAAATCTCTTCCACTTTCACTTACATCGATGAGTCTTCTCTTCATTAGTGAGTGAGGCTTCCTTCCAATCGCCGAAAGGTGAAAGTACCCCACTATCATCCCACCCCGTCCTAACTTTTCTGCCGCGCCGTGACTCTACGCTCGAACTCACCGCCTTATGTGGCCTGACCGAACGTCGTCCGTACCACTCTGCCAAACGCCCTGGGCCAGTGACGTCTCGTGCAGCTCCAAGGTACGAGATACATCTCGGTTTTCCCGCCAACACCAAGTTGATTCAAGATCAGCAGACACAGATCGTGACTGTTTCTTCAATCCCACACAAATCACAAAAAAAAACAAAAAATCACATAATCAATTTCACAAGCCATGTCTGACAACGTCGGTCTCTCAACGCCTCGCGGCAGTGGCACTTCTGGCTATGTCCAACGCAACCTCGCGCATATGCGTCCGCGCGACTACGGCGCGCCCTACCCCCCCAAGGACGCCGACTCACTCCGTCACAAGCAGCGACAGCCCGATAAGGAAATATTGGAGCACGACCGCAAGCGCGAGGTGGAGGTCAAGGTGCTCGACCTGCGCGACACACTTGAAGACGAAGGGTTAGCTTATCTTGCTCGCCTCTTTTAACCATCGATTGGTATGGTGCTGACCAACCATTTAGTCTTGACGAAGAAGAAGTAGAGAAGCGATGCGACGAGATGCGAACGAAGCTACTAGCCGAGCTAGAGAAACAGAAGAACAGCCGCGGCGGCGGTGCCGGGCCCATACGCAAGCACTTCAAGAGCCATCAAGTGCACGAAATGGCCGACGCCAAGATTAAGGAGAGTGAGAGATTACGTAGCGCTCTGAGAATAAGCAAAGACTATGAAGAGGGCAGCCATTGGAAGAGACAAGAGGAGAGACTCCGGGGCTCCTTGGAAAAGGAGGCTCAGAGGGAAGATGTCGATTAGGCATGCGATTCTGTCAGATTTTCTGCTAAGATGCGTAGCGCCTGGATTTTGGGTACGGATTGGCATGGGATGGGCGTTCAGGCGTTTGTTTACGAATCACAAGCAGACGAGCGTGGCGGCGCTGCGACACTGGTTCGTACCGATACCAAGTCGCTGAAAAGACGGCTCGACGCATCGAACTTGCCAGCAAAAAGACCCGTGTTGAACTGTTGGTACATGTGCGGAGATTCATTCCGTCTTCTAGTAATATACAGATGCGAAGCCGTCATACATAAGCCACTTATTTCTTTCCTGCAGGTGGCATCCACGTCTCTGGCTGCCAGTTCTCACTTGGCCCTCGAGCTTTCGCCCAAGGGTCCTTTCCGTACTTGTTCTTCGTCTCGTTTGCAGGCTGAGCCGGCTCGGCCGGTTTGTCAGACTGCGGCGATACTGTCTCGGGTGCGTTCGCCTTCGTGGTCGCATTCGTCGCCTCCAGTTCCGGCGCAATGGGTTGAGTCTGCGCAGTGTTGAATGATGGCAAACGCTGACCTGTCTGCTGCCCCGGAGCATCCGTCAATCTAGGCTTTGCCTCCCATCTGGCATCTGCCTGCGCTGCTAACACTTTCATGCGCTCCTGTCGGAAGGCCTCGCGTGATTGTTCTTCGAGCGTCGGGGGTTCTTGTCGGGTGTGCCTCAACCACTGGTGCCACAACGGGGATACCTTGACGTCGGAGAGGTAGACGGATCGCGGATACTTGACGATGCGGCGGAAGCGGCCAGGTCCATTGCCGCGGGTCTCTCGAAACTCCCAAAATGTGTAACCCTGTAGGTCACGGCCTAGAACCGAGCGTATTAGTCTCCGCGGTCATATATCTACAGAGGAGGGTGAGGGGAAGCAGAGGTTGGAACCGTACCAACAAGGAAGCGCTTGCGCCATGGTAGTCTGAGCGACTTCCACTTGTACCAAGCCTCCAGAAGGGGTGATATCCGTGTCGGAGACATCTGTACCGTTTTGTATGGGGGCTGGGGAGAAAATATCGACGTTCAGGAACCCATGGCTTCAAAACGCGAAGCTCACTAGATTCTAGAAAAGTAATGAGGTCAACCTTGGATAATTTGCACCGCCACGGGAAATTTGGCCGAGGAATGGATATCTTATCTTCAGCCACGTATTTTTTCTGCAGGCGCAAGCCAACCCTTTAAAGAACGAGAGTTACATTGACCCCACCAGCCACCACCGCACACGTCACTCCGTAAGGCCGCGGCGCACCAGCCGGACCCTGGGCGCTGTCACCTTATCCCAGGTTCCCGCCAGCGCGAGATGCATAAACAATTAAATCTTCCCCACCATGACCTGTCTTCGCCCGGTATTCAATCATTACGACCTGCCACCGGACTGCCTAATTCCCCCTGCAGAACATTGAATTTCACTCCCAGCTGTCCTCTCGAGCGAACAAGAAACGAACTTCAGCGGAATCATCGCCAACATCCGAGACACGTCTTACGCACGCGCAAATCGGCTGCATCCCCAGCGTTCGTTCCCTTACTCCAACTCCGTCAGCGCCGACCCCCGCCGACGTCAGCGCCCAAACGCTGCATTACTGAAACGCATCCCACGAACCCAACTGCGAAGCGCCTCGATTCATAAACATCGAACCGCCCCGATCCGCCATTGATTCCCTCATCGATAGCACATACCAAGATTCAAAATGGCATCAGTAACGTCCTTAGACAAGGACTTGCGCAAACTGCGCCTCGACAAGTATACACCTGCTGCAGCGAAAGAAGTCAGCGCCTGGATCGAGGGCGTTTTGGGAGAGAGACTACCTTCCGGTGATCTCCTTGAGGGACTGAAAGATGGTGTTGCGCTGTGCAAGTAGGTCAACTGCTATCCGTCAGTAGTTGCCGTCACTGACAGATGATGCTCCAGATTAATCAACCTTGCGGTACCACCGCCTGGCGTCAAGTTCAAGAAGTCAGCGATGCCTTTCGTTCAGATGGAAAACATTTCGCACTTTCTACGTGCCTGCAAACAGCCCCCTCTCAACCTGCAAGACCACGATGTCTTCCTTACCGTCGATCTGTTCGAGCAAAAAGACCCGGCCCAAGTATTGCAATGCCTAGGCGCCTTCAGTCGTGCCGCACACGCAGCAAACCCATCCAAATTCGCCTCACCGATCGGCTCCAAAAGTCGCGGAGTGATGAGTCCTCAAGCCACTGGACGCGGAACCCCTTCCCCTACGCGATCGCGTGGGTTTTCGAACGCGTCTGGATTTGGCTCCCCTCGACCTAACCTGACCAGTGCCAAGACGGGAGATTCAGGGTCGGGAAGATGGAGCCCGACCAAGCCTACGTCTCCCGTTAGCAGCTGGAGTAGAAAGGAACACGAGGGTGCCACCTCTCCAGCATGGAACATCGCTCAATACGGCTACATGGGCGGTGCCAGCCAAGGAAACCTAGGCATATCGTTCGGAAGCCGGAGGCAGATCACTAGTGCTGGCCCCTCTGTCCCCTCCTTGGCCGATAAGGAAAAGCGGCGGAAAGAGAAAGAAGCTGAAGAGGAACGTCAGCGACAACAGATGGCGGAGCTCAGACGTCAGAAAGAGGAAGAGCTTGAGCGCGAGGCTCACTTGCGGGAAGAGCAGGAGATCCAGCGTCTTGTGGAAGAGAAGCAGCGTCAGGCTGATGAGGAAAGACGTCAATGGGAAGAGGAAGAGCGCATGTGGAAGCTGACGGAAGAGAAGCGCCGCAAGGAGGAAGCCGAAGCCGAAGCCCGCTTAGCAGAGGAACGGAGCCGCGCCAGAAGCAAGAGTGATGCCCGCCTGCGGGGACAATTTCTCAGTCAATACCAGTCGGAGCAAGCCATCAAGCCCCAAAAGACCGGGGCTGACCGGATCGCTGAACTGGAGAAGGAGCTCGAAGAAGCCCGAGAACGTGAGAGGCGATATGAGCTTGAGCGCCAAGGTCGGACGGGCAGGACACTCGCCGCTACTAATGATCCCAAGGCTCGGCTTAGGTCTAGGAGCCGGCCGTCCGACGGAGCCCCTAGTCGCCAAGACTCGTGGTCCAAAAGCGAACGGGAGGTGCTTCAGACTGCATGGTCTCAGCACCAGGATGCGCATGACAACGAGCATCCCGCACTACCTCCGAGATCCCCGAGGCCCCTTCCGGATCCGATGACAGTCGCTAAACCGCCTCAAAAGGCCGTGGCTCACACCACGGGCGGTCGACCTCTTCCGGATCCTGCCGCTTACAAGGCGGCAAACCAGCCCCCACCAAGCCGGACCGATCGGTTCCTCGCTAATAACGCCGCGCCGGCCCCACTTGCCGCCAAACAAACTTATTCTCGGGAGCTGAGTGCCACTGCAGAGCAAGATGCCGAGGATCACCGACGTGCCCAAAGCCAGAACAAGACCAAGGCAGGTGGGTGGGCGTCCAAGTCGCTACTCGAACGCGAAATGGAGATGGAGCGCGAACGTCAGCGTGAGTGGGAAGAGGCCCAGAAAGAGACGGCTCGGGCGGTTCCTACCGGAAACGGTGTGGACGGCATCGGTGGTGGCATTGGAGGCCGCTGGGACGTCAGCCAGTGGTCCGGATACACTGGTGGTGACAACCAGAACAAGGGAGCCCAGGGAATCGGGGCTGGCCGCAGACAAATTGTCGGACCGAGGCCGCTGCCCAACGTCCCGCGATAAGTTATGCGCGGCACTGGTGGAAGATCGTTTCATTTCTGTATAAGGCGCAACAGGAAGCTCAGTATGCAAAAACTCAGCTTGTTTGCCTTACTTTATACCATAAGATGACGGAAACATCAAGCGAAGTAGATATTATTATTTAATAAATGGAGATTGTGTTGCTGCTCATTCGGGGCTCTTGTCGCCTTCCCCCCCATCGGACTGGCATTCCAACCCACCACAAATGTTGCCAAAATCTTTAAATCGTCCTGGCGCACCTAATAAACGAAAAAGTAGAACTGAATTGCTGATATCGGCCATTGCTGTTGAGGTGATCTACATACCAGCAGAAGCCGGGAGCGTGCCATGCTGTAAAACCGTATTGACAAGCATGATGCGTTAGTGTGTGCCATTCAGCTACAGTCACCTTGTATTCAGGGAACTCTATTGTCCAACGTCCTGCTGTATTGAAGAGTGTATGAAAGATCTCGATGTATGTTCGTTCATATGCGTGGCCACCTGACCCAGGGATTACCATTCTAAGATCGGCCAAGCTCCCGGTACTCTTAGTATATGTTTCTCTCTCTTCAAGTAGCCAGACTTGTAGAGTTTCCGCATCTGCCTTATCTCAAATCTGTTCTGCATGAGTTCCCTGGCGTATAAAAATGACCTCTCGGCGTTCGATTTTCTCGCCTGCCAAAACCCCGAGATTTCGTGCCGAATCTAGGTCAAACTCCTGGACAAAAGAATACTCAAATGGCCAATCATTCTGTATGGACAGAACCAGCTCTCGTCTCTTCGTCACGACGCGTAGTCGATTGTCCTCCATTACCAGCTTTGTCAGGATTCTCCAGGCTCCTTCATACCATAAGGGGTTCCTAACTGGGTAAAGACGACCCCAGTTTCTGAACTCGTGTCTAACTTCGTAGGCTTTGCCGAGAGGATCGACGAATCGGCGCCAGAACGGGACTTCGAAACCTTCAATCTCTTTCGTAATCAGTGATTTTCCCCACGCGTCCCAGTGAGGACTCCATGAAGACCGACAAAAAGCAGTGTCGCGCCGTATATACCCATGCATGTCGATTCGGCTCGCCTGAAGCATCCTTAACCAGCGTGATAAAGTCAACTCGACATTTCGGTGGCAATTGTAGGCTGTGAGGATCATATACAGTGCGGTCTTCCAGCCCTCCTTCGTTTCGGAAAGATGAAAGTCAAAACTGACAAGTCTATGTACGTCAACACCCTCGTCAATCAATTTAACAAAAAGTACTGTTAAGACCTCTATAACTTGATCATCTGGAAACGGAAGAATATTGTCTTTATCAATGAGTGGGAACGTCAAATGGTATACAGTGGCGTCCCAAACGGCGTTGACGAAGTCTTCTTTCTCAGTGGGGTCTAGAGCCGGTTTGTCAAATCGATTGTACAATTCGGTTAAAGACCGAATATCTTTCAATTGAAATGCCAAGAGTCGAAACCTTGAGGCCTGGGATGTCTGGGTGAGTTGGACTATGTCATCAATCTCAAAGACACGACGGCGAATCTCGAAAGACTCCCTATCGAGCCACTTATAATAAGCGTCAATAAGATCGGGTCTACAAAGCCTGAGCATCCTGTTAGCCCGGGTCAAAATAGAAACGATCGGACACACTGCTCATCTATGCATAGCCTGATGTTCCGTTGAGCAAGGAAACGGCAAATGCTTGGCTGTTTGGTAGCGACTGCCATCTGTATCAAATATCGGTCAGACAGCATTCGACGCCAATGGCATGAAGACTATCGAAATTAAAGCAACTTCACCTCGAACAGAGTCCTTTTCCCGCACAGAGAACTCAAAGTAAGCCTCCCGGCAGAAAGCATATCCTGCAACGCTCGCAGATTGCCAATGCACATGGCATCCATTAGGTCTTCGCAAAGCCTTGGATCTGTTTTACTCGAGATGACATGTCGAATGTTCATGGCACATACTGGGCTCGCCATGCTGAGCTTCCGGTGAAACTCAACTCTGTAGGAAATTCCACTGAGGCCGAAAGTATACGTCTTTATCTCTTTTGACGTCGTCGTCTCCCTATTGTTTTACCAACGAGATTCTCTGATGATTCTAACGCTTTGTGCTTGGCCGTGGAAACCGTATGCGCTAATTATCTTTCGGTTGCTTTTGTTGACTATTTTTGTTACGCTTGGCTCGGAAGATGCAGTGGTATAAGACGCAGGGCAAGGCAAAGAAGTTGTCAGGCTTTCTGTTGACGGTGCAGCTTGTGCGCTGGACTGGTAAAGTACCAACTGCTGGGAGATATTGAATTGGGAGCTGCCTCTGTGGTCAGCAAAGAATTTTGAAGCATGAATCTTGGAGAAGCACAATATTTCGGCCGTCATCATATTTTGCAAATGGTTCAGGTCTTCATCAAGATACTTGCTCAGGCTTGTTATGTCGTCCTTCTCCAGCAAGAAAGCCAGACCTGCGGCATTCACTATTCTCTTCTTCGCTGCCTTCTTTTCAAGCTTGGCGATGATGTCGTGAAGCTCTGCAAGCGTCAACTGGACACTCCTCAGCACGCAAACACCCCAGGTTTCGATGAGATCGGAGCATCGTCGTGTCGAAGGCCCGCCCTCGAGGCTCTTCTTGATGGCACCGCATATTGCCTCCACTCGTTCGATTTTGATTGCTAACCGATGGATTTCTGTCGAGGCAGACCGGTAGTTGTCGATGGCCCGCTTCACCTTCACGGCCGAATCGATAGGTCGTAATGAGAGCCCGATAACTCCGATTGCAGCCTCCATTGCCAGCAGCCAGAGGCACCGTGATACAAATCCTAATAGCACGGGTTATGATTGACAAAAGAGTGGATCGTAGAGATGGAAGCCTACTAGTCAGGAGAAGAAGAGAAGAAAGTACAGTAAGACACTGAACCTGATGCGCAGAAAGGCTGTGCAGGTTTACCCCGCCGAGCCTGCATCAGGCAGCTGATGCGCGGCCCAATTTGGCCCGTCTGTAGATATCTCCTCCATAGCCATGCTTACTCAATGCAAGCTCAGAAGTACTTCTTTCCTATCTTCATCCAATCATGCCTTTTCCGATAGATTAGAGAGACGCAGAGCCCCGATCTTCCACGATACCAAGACCCGCCAGGCCAGACCGTCGAATTCTTGGGCCTTCGCGTATTACTGGCTTTGACAGAGAGTAAAGGAAGGATTGAGGCCAAGATCCTCTTATTGATGAGGGACTCAAGTGATGGGGGGGAAAATGAAACAGAGACTTTTCAAACATCATCTACATGCAGTAAATATGACTGTCGAATTATATAGTTCCAGAAAATACGTCTTTGTAACTGTTATGTAGGATTCCCAAATATATATTCAAAGGTAATAATCAAGTGGCAAACCTAGGAATTTGCACTGCTCGAGATCCTTAAAGTCCCTCATCATATCACCCTCCACAGGCCAGTAGATCCTCCTCATCTTCATCTCGCCCTTGACGGCCGGCTCCCATAGCGATTGCTCTTGCGCCCTCAGTGTGCTCACAAACCCCCTCGCTTCGAGGAATCCCTTTTCCGGATTCGGATCATACGTTCTCGCGAACGACGTGAACGCGTCCAGAAGGTACTGCCCCCAGGGCAAATCATACTCGTCGCGCAACGGGTTTCCCTGGCGCACGATATTGCCAAACACCGGCAGCAGCTCGCCCGAGTGGCACCGCAGGTTGTCGATGGGCGATTCGGGGTCTCCTGCGGGGTATTCCTTCGACTCGGGTGCCTGGCAGAGGTCGATCTTGGGCCACTCCGGCGTCTGGTACGTCCTCTCGAGCTCGTAGTAGTAGACCTTGGACCCGAGCACGCCGCTGTCCAGGCCTGCGAAGACAGTCGCCTGGTCTATGCAGCGGAACATGGCGTCGGTTGCTAGCTGAGCGCCCACACCATACGACGCCCGGGTCTTGTTCTTCGTTTCTATTGGAGGGAAAAGACGCGGAGGCGGTGCCGGAAGGCCTTGGGATGTGAGCCACTGTGTGTCGTTGACGACTGTCCTGTTGCGCGGGAAGGTCAAGAACGGCAAGCCGTCCTCGGCTGCGATGCCCATGAGCAAATGTACATTCAACGGGTCCCCCGTCAGACACAACTCGTCTGTCGTTAGATAGACACCGTCGTTGACAAGATATCGCGCCCCAGCTCCAAGGCTTTCGACAGGCACTTTTCGAAGACATTTGACTTGGGATGTTGCGTTGATGCACTTAGTGGTGCGAAGTATGGCGTTCCCTACGAGTTCCAGCTGGTCCTCAATCGAGTAATACTTGGAGTATGACTCTCCATACGATATCCCCCCCAGGTTACTCATAGGGATTGCCGCCGCGAACTTCCCAGCAGCTTTCGGCGATGCCATCATGGCCCGGACAGAAGCGGCACCGGCGGACTGACCAAAGATGGTGATCCTACTGGGGTCGCCGCCGAAATCTCGAATGTTTTCCCGGACCCAGTCCAACGCCAGAATTTGATCCGCCAGGCCGAAGTTGCCGTTTGTCTCCCCGTCGTCAAGCGCCAAGTACCCCAGGGTGCCGAGGCGGTAGTTGATTGTGACGAGGACGACATCGCCACGAGAGGCCAGATTCCCGCCGTCGAACAGGGGGTCGCTGCCGGAGCCGCTCGTCAGGGCTCCGCCATGCATCCAGAACATGACTGGTCGAAGCCCGGCGTCGACGTCTCTGTTCCGCGGGAGAAACGGCGTGTAAACGTTCAGGTAGAGGCAGTCTTCGCTGCCGAACCCCTGGTAGCAGGGAGAACCGAACTCGAGGGCCGTGACATTGCCGCCGCAGCCCCGGTACATCTCGGGATATGCGAAGCGCTCTGTCTTGGTTGCGAACCGCATGCCCTGGAACCGGAAACTGTTCCGGTCCCGGAAGCCGAGAACATTTTCGTTGTTGGAGTGGACGACCACTTGCCACCGTTCGGTGTTATCCTGACTTACGCCACTGGAGAATGGGGCCGTTTGCATACAGAAGACTGAATTAGTGGCGGAGGGGTCGGCGGAAGAAACCTCCCCTTGCAAGTTGATTGTCGTCGGGGTCTCGCCGTCTTTTGGAGCAACCCATATTGCGGACAAGTCACTATCCGGCCTCTGATAGTCAAGTATGGAGAGGATTCTCTGAGTGTCATCCGACTCAGAAGCGGAAGCCCACAGCTCCTCGCCAACCTTATTACATGCTGCCTTCGCCTCATTAAACGACATCTTGCTGTGAAGAAATAGAGCGCTGGTGTTCGCCGTCGGGCTTTTCGAGTCTGACAACCAATGTTGTCAGAATTACGGTACTTCTATACATGATTATACGTTACGTGACTTACCTAGCAGATCATTATCCCGAATAATGCTTATGTCGGTCCTCAGGTCCTGAGTTGAAGGCGCGCACGAAACAGCTGCAGCTAGCAGGGCGACCAGAGAGAGCGTTCCCACTGGCATGACTACTTGAAATCGCCGAGAGACACAAGAGAACTCATATATACAATTATGAACCTAATAGTGAGACTATCAACCTCAAAGCATGACCGAAAGAGGGAACGATATAATTGTTTGGTTTTTCTGAAGGGCTTGGGCTGCGAGAGTGAGAGGACGAGTTGTGGGCCCAAACCATCCCATCGAGACGGACAAGGACACCCGCTCAACTTAAACATCGACTCAGCTCAATACAGACGGATTCCTAATTGCACCGAGGATGAACAGCGAAGGAAAAGACCAGGGATCTTCCGAGTGGCAGAGGCGAACGAGAGAAGAAAAAGCCGGCACGGTCCGGCAAGGTGTTCAGATCGTTCGACTCCGGTCACCCCAGATCGACTCATCCAAGCTGACCAAGCTCATCATCAATACGCACAAAGAAGCTTAAGAATTCTATATAACCCATGTCCGGACTGCGGGTAGTGTGGCTCGATGTGCCGGGAGCACCGCAGGACCAAGGCGAAACGGGAGGGAGACTCCGTTTCCTCTGACTAGGGAAGCATGACGGACGGACGCGGGCACTCTGCGATGTTCGACCAGACGGCATGGGCCGCCGGCAGGCCGATGCGTCGACCCGAGTCAGGAGGATGCTGGCGGGAAATGTTTCAAAACTTTGACTTTCCGCGTGGCTCGCACGCTCGAACCACACGTACTTTATAACTTACTCGGAATCACCTAGGTATGCTCAATACGGCCATGAGCTACTCCGGTCCTACTGTCCCGATGGACTGGTGAAAATTTGGGCGGCCCTGCAGCTCAAGGTGCTGTTTGCAACGAGGCGGTGCTGCAGTCACGACAAGCTTTGAATGAGGCACGATTGACGAAGTCCACTACGTGCGTGATAGATTTATCAAGCCTTGTAATCGGAGCCGCCGTCGCATTCGCTTCTATCGATCGCTCACCCAGATCGGTGCGGCGTGGGCGGCGAACAGGCCTCACGGCGTCCAAGAGCCTCGGCTGGTATGGACTTGGAGAAACCGGCCAAGGTAGAATCGTGCTTGGTGAGATGAGTTAGACCGGGGAGCAGTCCGGTTTCCATACCTTCTATGCACTGCTGTTTGGTCATTTTATGACATTATACTTTTGCGACGACGGCGCGCTGACTTGAAAAATATGTCCCGTCGCCGAGTCATCTTTCGGATGAAAATCGAGATCCCTAAAAGGAATCTGTTTCGAAGGGGATTGGAAGCAATGAGAAGAAGGGGGGGAACCTAACCATGACTCACGGGTGTGAAAGGTGAGGATGGAAGTCCAACATAAAAGCCGTCATCACACTCTCCAACATGTCATGACTGCAAACAAACGGGCACTGTGCCTGATGAACCACAGCGCCGAATGTCTAATGTCTGTAACTTATACCGATTATTGTAATTTCAAAGGGTGTCTTCCCCCCTTCGCCTATGTACCGGATGGCTCAATTTGAGTCAGAGTTTAGACCTAGTTTCCCGTGATGCGCTCCGACCTTCCAGATGTTGACCATAAGTCTCCCAATGACCAAGGGGCTCACACATCACCACTGGACTTGGCAATCCAAGTTTTACCAATGCTCTTGCCTGGGGGCTTGTCGCCCCTGCAACAGTCGAAGCTGCCCTTGTCGACGACCCAGAACACAAGGTCAAAAGCGTTGCACTGAATCATACCCCTGGCCTCCATTTTACCACTCTTGCCGCAGCCTGCGATGCTCTGCGTGAGTATACCAACGATGTCCAGGTCGCCGAGGGAGGTTTCTTTGTCTCTGGTAGGGTTGATGTGGATTCCAGCGGCAGGGCGACCGACAGCAAAGACGCAGCTGCCGCTCGCCATCAGCTCGATCCAAAATCTTCCAGCGATATCGCGGTCCGAGATGACCCATTTGCCGTGAGTCTTGCTCCAAAAGAGGAGGAGCTCTTCGCAATCCTGGGTCTTGGCCATCTGACCGCGGTCGTAGCAGACAGATGACTGTCTATCGCAGACCTTCTCGCCCATGTCGGAACGATCAAAAAAGAGACGCTTGGTGATTGGGGTGCTGGTGGCGGTACCCTTGCCGATTGTGGCTCCGTGTACTTTGGTTATCTTGTTGGCATCGCCAGTGGCACTAGCACCCTTACTCTTGCCCTCACCAGCGTCGACCTGGGTGCGCTTGACATCGATGCCGGCGAATATGGCATCATCGGTAGTGTTGAAGTCAAGCTTGCCAGCCTTTGAATTGACGAAGACGGCCTTGCATTTGCCGTTGTCGAGTTTGACTTCGTAGCAAATGGCATTGTCAAATTGGGGCTCGCTGAAGGCGCAGAGGGAGCCGCAAGCAGCATCGCGAATGACTC